CATTATCACATTGCATCCCTAACGTTTTTTTGTATCATTAATGGTCCCTAACATTAATACAGGTACTCTTAAATAGTCCTTCTGTCAAAAAAAACCGTTAAATCTAGGGGTATAATCGTCAAATCGATCCAAAATTATAATATATTTTTTTTCCTTCCCTTCTCTCTCTCTATGTTTCTCTTTTTTTTTTTCTCCTCTCTTTCCTCCTCTTTTCTTCTTCTTTTCCTTCGCTGTTTCTTCTTTCTCTCCCCTTTTTTTTTTCTTCTTTCCTTCTTTGTTCCTCATTTTTCTTCTTTCCTTCTCTCTTTTTTCTTCCTCTTTCCTTCTCTCGGGGTGGTGATTTGGGTGGCTAGAGTGCTGGGTTGGTGGGCTGTGGAATGGGGCAGGGAGAGAGTTGCAGAGAAAGTACATAGAGGGGCAGGGGTATAAGATCCCACGGTGGTGGTTATGGAGGTCGAGGTGGTGGTTTGGGTGGCTAGAGTGGATGGGTTGGTGGGCTGTGGGAGGGGGCAGGGAGAGAGTTGCAGACAGAGTAGAGAGAGGGGCAGGGATATAAGATCCCACGGTGGTGGCTTTGGTGGTCGGGGTGGTGGTTTGGGTGGCTAGAGAGAGAGAGAGAGAGAGAAGGGAAGGAAAAAAGAAAGAAAGAAAAAGAGTGAGCGGGGCCAGGCGGAGAGAAAGAAGAAAGAAGAAAGAAAGAAAGAGAGAAGGGAAGGAAAAAAAATTATAGTTTTGGATTGATTTGACGATTATACCATTGGATTTAACGGTTTTTTGACAGAGGGACTATTTAAGAGTACCTGCATTAACGTTAGGGACCATTAATGATACAAAAAAACGTTAGGGATGCAATGTGATAATTTCGCAAACGTCAGGGATGTTTTGTGATAATAAGCCTAAAAATAATAAACTGTTCTCTGGCAGGAAACTAAAGACAACTATGATCATTGTATCGTGAGCTCCAATCGGCATTTGACAATAAAGCAACACAAACCATACCAGTGTGACTTGAGATAAATCTGCACATCCAAGTCTTGTTCAGTGGTAACGGGCAGCTCTAGTGAAAGAAAAGCGTGAAGAGATTGGCACATTTGCCTCAACTGAGTTAGAGCTACCATGCAATGGTCTTTGAAGAGGATCAGCATACACCCAGCTCTCATCCTGATGGGCTGTCACTTGATAATACGGTTGGTAAGCTGATGGCCGTTCATAAGATGGTGCTAAAGAATGTGATTGCAACATAACATGTGAGGCTGCAGCAGTGGGCAAATCTCGACTATACGATTCAGCAGCATAATCGGAATGTGCAAAAACATCTCGCTCCCTTCCCTGCCGCAACTGTGACCTGTCATACTCGCTTCTATACGTAACAACTTGATCTCTGGGAACCATCTCGTCCTCAAGTGTGACCCTATACCTGTGAAAATGTATGACAATATTATTCATGCGTGCTTCACATGTGTGAGGATTAACTCTGATTAATGAAAAATATAAAGATGTAAAAACATGATGTGGACATAATGTAACTGTAACTCTAGCCAGTGGAGTAATTTAAATAGGAGAATGAAGTACGATTTATAGAGGAATATTTTGGGAAAGAAAAAAAAAAGGCGGACACAAAGGAATCCCCCTTTGCATAATAGAATAGAAGATACAGAACAGAGACCACCAAATGTACAAAATACCACAAAATCACGGCTGAAAGTAGTAATTGGACAGAAATGCAACAAAAGAATACACCTTCGATATGCATCCTGATAGGACAGGAAAGGTTGTTCAGGCAAGTATGGCTCATGTTCTGCTGCTAAATAATAGGAATCGGCATCATGGGGAAGAGAAGCATGCTGAACATGTCGAGGTTCTGTAGCACGTGGCACGTGTGTTTCAACCTCATATTTATCGTAAAGTGGATATCTGACTACCCGCTTGGATTGCATATGGATTGGTAATTCATGAGTACATTGCACGCCAGGTAAATAGGAGCCCTCTTGAAAACACAGTTTTGCTGTTGGATGAAATTCTTCTTCTGTAATAGGAGATCGAAATGAGCCTGATCTAACCACATCTGGGAGAGGGGCAGCAGGAGTAGGCAGAGATGCAGTGATTGGGCGGAACAATGAGATTAAAGCATGCACCTTCATCAAAATTCGCAACAAAAAAAATATCAGTAAGAAATGATATTTTCTAAAAATAAAACATATTTTTTTAATAGACAAGCAACTAGTTGAACAACTTTTCACTAAGGAACAAACAGTTATAAATGATGCTTTTACCTGTTTGTTATTGAGCTCTTGCTTAAACTTGGAATCTCCCTGATAGTTGTCTTTGATAGCTACTTTCAAGGCATTTTCCGGAAGAGGTAAACAGTCCTTGAAAATCTTAAATCTGACCTAAATATAAGAACAACGATTGACAAAAATGAAAAAAAGAAACAGAAATGAAGCAAATCACATAAGGTTACATTTTCTTCTATCAGTAGATATAAAACATCTCACATAAAACCCAAAAGTGAAACAAATCTTCATCTAATTTTTTTTAAATAGGTCTCATAATTTGATGTAACATTTGAAGAACCCTAAAAGCAAAAAAGAGGATTCAAGTAGAAAATCAAGGAATGACCAATAGATTGTCAATTTCCACATTCACTCAATAATTGGTTGGCATTGTGTTCTAAACCTTCTTCTATTGAGCTGGATCCGCAACTTAAACCCTCTCCGTGAACTTGTCACTAAGATTGTGCCTTTTGCAAGCATCAAGCCACCTTCTGCCTCACTATCACATTTTATACCACAAATCCTATTGTCTAAACACTCTAGACATAACTGCCACTAACCCTTCCTCCCAACAACACTTACATATAACTGTCACCTATCAAGCCTCCTATGGTTCCATTACCAACGTTCTTGAACCATCATTGCAACCGCCGCCACCACAAACAAAAATTCACAAGTGTCACCAACACCACCGCTATTAGTCCCGTACATTCTTTTTCATTTTCTGTAGCTGTAACCAGCACCATCTCCACTTGAACAATCATGATATTCAACCCGCCATTCCAACCCTAAACCATCTAATTTCATCTCCATTTTACAACTTCAATTATAATATAAGATTCTAAGGGCTCATATGGTTTGTTTACAGAAAGAATTTATATAAAAAAAAAAGGAAGAGAAAGTAGCATATCTAGTTTTTTCTAATGAAATAGTTCTAGAAAAAGTGATAAAATTACATCCCAACTAAACTCTATGGGATAAAATTACATCCCAACTAAACTCTATGGGGAACAAGCCAACAACTTCTACCACCAAAAAATGTCAGATCCTTGTTTTCATTACCATAACGGCACCATCAATCATCGCCAACCCTTCAACTGTCGTCATATTACAGCTACAAGGAATTAATGTGACTTAGCTCAACTAGAATACCTGGGCTTAGATTGAACAAATATATATAGTATAGAAAAGTAATCTTTCAGGGTTGGCTGAATGTTTCAGACCCCTCAAGCTACCATTCGAGCTGGAGTTCGATAAAAAATTCCTTTTCCATCCTAGCCACATTTTTTTTCCTGTCCTCTGGAAGCTCATTAGACATAATGAGAGGCAAGCTATCTTACATCCCTTACTCCCACTTCTTTTTAAAGGCTGTATGACCTCTTCCAAAGACACACATGTATTTATACAATAGTTGCATATATATAACTGTTCTCTTGCAAGATGAAAAAGGTGGGGCAACAATCATGACTGTTGGACACAGGATGCAGTGAACACACACAATGGTAGTGATCAACAGCTCTTTGGAAAATATTGTATGCACTTATACAAACATAGAAAAAATCCTGATCACATACGTAACTAAGTTAAGTAGCTAGCTTAGTTAAGTAACTCAGAAATACAAAGGGCCAGGGGTTGTTTAGTAATAGCATTGAATAATATCATACTTATTAAAGGACAAGGTCAACAAGATATGTACGATGTATACGGTGAACAAAGGGGTTATTTTTGGGCACTCGTTGGTCTTATTTTCTAGGAATTAACATTTCATATTCATATAGAACATTGTTACCTGTGCAGGAAATTTCCCCTTAAACGCAATTGGCTCCAAATCCAATCCTCCATTTGAAGTTGCCTTGTATGTGCCATAAAGGAGCTTCAAGTCAAAGTCATATAAAAATAGCTTTGTACCAGGTCTAATCTTCTTTACAACTTCTACCTTTCCCAAGGGTAGCCCAAAAACACGATATCGATAGCATTCAGGTTTCGTTTTTCCATTACACATGAATATAAAACCAGAATGTGATTGCCCACTATCCTTCTCATTCTTTTTGGGCCCAACCTTTTCCCTGGTAGTAGGATTAGCATGACTAGATGAAGTAGCATGAGAAACATTGGAAGCAGAAGGGCCACTGTTAAGCACAGGTGCAGGTGTAGGCATGGAAGATGCACTTATCTTCCTAGATTTCTTTTTTTTCTTCGTTAAACTCTTTCCTATCTTTTTACTCCCATCTTCGTGACTTAAAGGTAGGCCTTTTCCCTTTGACGCCTTGCCTCGTTTCTTTGCCATGGATACACTGTTACAGCGAAATGAAAGCATTATTCTTGCAATGTAACTCATTGTTATTCTATATCTACATCCTTGAATTGAAAGATCACACTCGCTAACTCTAATATGACAATGTGATTACTAACCATTGATCATTATATTCATCTCAAACCACAATTATCTTAAGCACATCACTATTTCCCTCTAAGGCCCAAGGAAAATACAATGCATTTCAAAATCAACAATAAATAAAAAAGACTATTACTTGATTGTCTGTTTTATATTCATTCTTACTGCCATGACTTACCTTAAAGTAAGATTTTAATCACAATTCAAGATAATTATCATCCTTAAGATGAACATCATGTCACAAATTATAATGAGAGTAGACACAGTTAAATCCTCCTCTGTATGAAATCTTTCCGAGAACCCGACTTCTTTTTTTCTGATAACGATTGCAATGTTTACAAATCTCCCATGGCATCAATTCTCCTCATCACTTCAACCCCTCAACTACTTTATTCATCAATTATCTTTTTTCTTCTTTATATCGAAATGAATAAATAAATAAAAGCAGCGAAATCCTAATTTAGGCCATTGGCGAAGATAAGGTGATGGAAAATTATAATCTTGGATAGAGAAGAGAGCAGTGATTTGATTTGATTGATTGAAGAATACCTGGAAATCGAGCCTTGAGAGATTTATTTACCCTGCTGCGGAAGATTGAATAGAGGACTGAATCTTGGGAAGGCGACGGGTAAATAGATGAAAGGAAATGAACGGCTGCGATGTCGTCCTGAAGTTACCAATGTGGTGGATGGTGGGTAAGGTAAGGCAAAACTGAAAACGACTTTCTTTTGTAGCGTTCTGATGGGCTGTTACAAATTTTGTGTCTAACAAAACATTTTGACTAAAATAGTGGGTTAAATGTTAATTTACCCTATGAACTTGTACCCTACTTTTAATTTGCACCACAACTTTTTTTCTGAAAAATTGGGTACACGAACTAATTTTTATTGCCAATTCCCCCCTACCATCTAAATCAACAATATGTCATCTAATGGTGCGTCGTCAAATCATTAAAAATTATATTTCTTTTGAAAAAACTAAAGAAAAAGAGAACAAAAAGAAAAAAAATTCCTAATCCCCCCCCCCCCTCTTTGGTTTTCTTTTACTTCTAGGGATGGCAATGGGTCAAATCGGGGGTTGGTATGGCATTCCCATCCCCATCCCCGCCTTCGTACCCGCAATATTCATATCGGGGATTCCCCATCCCCACCTTTGTTGGGGAATGGGTTCCCTGACCCGCCCCATTACGGAAGAAAAAATCAATATATAACTACTTTGTTGAAGAAAAAAAAAGTACTAATTCAAGATAATAAATATATATAATATATACTTATAAGACAATACAAGAATGGTTATATATGTAGTGGAAGTTAACTAAATAAATAAGTAGTGTGGCTTAAGATTTGTATAAATTATATAAGTATATAATATAATAATATAAAATATAAATCGGTACAATCACTTTAATAGCATATTTATATATATCTATATACCTCATCAAAAAATTAATATATATTCTAAACGGGGAGGGTTTGGGTTGGGGATTAAAATACCATCCTCACCCCTCCCCGAACACCATACCAAAAAATTCCCCGTACCCATCCCCATACCCGATTTTTGTCCTTCATACTCGACCCATTAGGGTCGAATCCCCGCGAAGGCCCTTACCCGCGGGGAAAATTGCCATCCCTATCTCCTTCTATCCCCCTCTTCCCTCATGACCACCGCCCTTTACTCAACCAATCCCCCCCACCCTAAACCTTAGAACCCACAGACCTACGCCCCTCCCCTATCACAAACCCACCCCACGCCCTGCCAACAAACCAAGAACCAAGAACCCAGAATCCACAGACCACGAACCCAGAACTCACAGACCAAACCCATCCCTCCCCCCTCCTCCCCCAGATTTCTTCTCCCCTCATTCCTTTCTTTTTTTCACCCACAGCCCCCCTCCCCAACGAACCCAGAACCCTATAGCCCACAACCACCCATTTTCTTTTCTCCATTCCCCATGACCACCACTGCAAGCCACCCTCCACCCTAGACCCATCCCTCCCAACAGACCTATTCTACCTCTCTCTCTCTCTCTCTCTCTCTCTCTCTCTCTCTCTCTCTCTCTCTCTCTCTCTCTCTCTCTCTCTCTCTCTCTCTCTCTCTCTCTCTCTCTCTCTCTCTCTCTCTCTCTCTCTCTCTCTCTCTCTCTCTCTCTCTCTCTCTCTCTCTCTCTCTCTCTCTCTCTCTCTCTCTCTCTCTCTCTCTCTCTCTCTCTCTCTCTCTCTCTCTCTCTCTCTCTCTCTCTCTCTCTCTCTCTCTCTCTCTCTCTCTCTCTCTCTCTCTCTCTCTCTCTCTCTCTCTCTCTCTCTCTCTCTCTCTCTCTCTCTCTCTCTCTCTCTCTCTCTCTCTCTCTCTCTCTCTCTCTCTCTCTCTCTCTCTCTCTCTCTCTCTCTCTCTCTCTCTCTCTCTCTCTCTCTCTCTCTCTCTCTCTCTCTCTCTCTCTCTCTCTCTCTCTCTCTCTCTCTCTCTCTCTCTCTCTCTCTCTCTCTCTCTCTCTCTCTCTCTCTCTCTCTCTCTCTCTCTCTCTCTCTCTCCTCTATTTTTTTTTAATTACAACAGAGGGAGGGCATGGGTGGGGCCCCTCTGTTAATTAAAATGATTTATTTATTTATTTGAGATTTCATATTATTGTAACATATAAAATGACCAATTTGTCCTCATATTTAACAGTAAATTGAATGAAATGTTGAGATTTAGATGGTAAAGGAGGAATTGGCAATAAAAATTAGTCCGTGTACTCAATTTCCCCAAAAAAAAAAGTTGAGGTTGCAAATTGAAAGTAATGTACAAGTTCAAGGGGTAAATCAATAGTTAACCCCTGAAATAAATTACTCAAGCCCAACTTTTTATTCAAAAGTTGAGTTGGACCCAAACTAGTTTGGGTTCAACCTATAGGTGTCAAACCGACTGGGCCGGCTTGAATATGGCCTGCTTAAGTAAGGCTCGAACCGGCACGAGCTGTATCTTTAGGCTATGCTGGAGCAAGGTAATTAGGTCCAATGAGTCGGGTTAGCCTGTGGCTCGTTGTGGGCTGTGCCGACCCGAAATTTAATGTACAGGCCTATTTAAAGCCCATTTATTAAATTATACTTGTTTTAGAGAAAAATAATATATAAAATTATTACATTTATATATTAAATTCAAGTCTATTTCTTTTCTCTAATAATATACATTAAAATTTAATGTTTTATTTATATATAAAATAATGATTTTATTTTTCAAGTTTCAATTTTTAAAACCCGAACAATAATCTAGCTATTTTCTATTTAAATGTACTTTAAATAAAGTTATTTACCTCTTTTTTTTAAAAACAAATAATAATCTCATTAGTATATACATAATTGTACAAAAGATTTAAATGAAGTTGTAAAAAAATTACAAAAAAAATGCAATACATAAGTCAATTTTGGCGTGGGCCCATATTGGTCCATTAAGTAGCCCGTCATGAGCACGGCTCGAGCCCATATCGGACCGTGGACTTGACCCGGAATTGATGATTTTTTATAAATAGGCGGGCATGACACGACTAGTTTGACACCTCTAGTTGAACCTATTCAAGTTACACCAATCCTAGAGTCATAGTAAGAGAGTGAATATCTTTTAAATTTTGAAAAACAAATATCCAAAAATTAGGAATTCTTACACAATTGACCCATCCAGTCAAGTAAATGAGTAATTTTTGCATATTCTAGGTACACCACGTGGCTAATGTACCATTCAATACATAGGGAACATGTGGAAATATTGTCCAATACACATAAGACATAAAAATATTCCGCATGTCCTATGTGTATTGGATGGTACATCAGCTACGTGGTGTACCCAAAATTTACAAAAATTTCTCCAAGTAAACCTTTATTTTTTTGACCTAGCACTCAATTGGCACAATTTTCTTACGTGCACTCCAAAATCAATAGTAAGTCGATGGTAGGGGCAGGGCTGAGAATCCGCCTCCTTGCATCCAAGTTCGAACTTTCCTACATGTGAATTAAATTAATTTAAAATAGGCATGAACAAATGAACTAAGTGTATAACAATATGTAACTTAATGGTTATTTATATCGAATTATAAAATGGGCAAAGATCCAACTATTACATTACATGTCTCAAACTCCAACCACAAAATGTAATTTTACGTTGACCTTTATTTATTTATTTTTATTTAGGCTTAAGTGCTACAACCCTGAAACATTGGTCAAATCTCACTTTACCCCCTCGAAGCCAAAGTGACCCACTTTGCCCCCTTAACCAAGATTTGATGTTCCACATTACCCCTTACCAACAACTCCATCCAAAGATCTGTTAAGTTTGATGACCTGGCATGGGTGTTTTCGTAATTTTGTGCACCTTGGTCATTTACTCACCAATTTGAGTGGGTGATGTGGCAAAGTGGAGCCCACCTCTACATAAAAACATAATAAAATATTCATCTTCTCAAATAATTAAAAGATTGGGTAAATTTCACTATGTGCCAATAAGTGGATCTGCATAGACCACACATATTGCGCCATGTGGATTGAGAAAATAATTTTTTTAAAAAGAAGTAAATAATATAATTAAAATTGGAAAAAAAAGATATAAGATTTATTTCAAAAAATAAAAGATCCTCTTTTTTGTTCTCCCTCAACCCGTCAAACCAACCCCCCTCTTCTCCCTCATCCCGACCAAACCCTCATATTGAATTACCCAAATAAAAAAAGCAAATGAATCAAATCCAAAAATCAACCCAAGAAAAAAAAACCCAGATAAGCCAAAAATCAAGCAAAAAATAAAAAATGATAACCCAACAACGACGCTTGGCAAGATGGGCATTTGGTTATTTGGTTTTTCTCAAGTGGTGGCTATCGAAGAAAGAGAGGAGGGATGAGAGAAATATGGAGACAGAAGGAGGAGGGGGAGGGTGGATGTACGTGGCGGAAAATGAGACAGAGGGTAGGGTGGGTTTCATTGCTGTTTAATAGAGAGGGAGGAGGGACAAGAGAGAGAGAGATAGGGAAAGAAGAGGTGGGGTTCGGGAGGATGGCTCAATGGTGGGGTGGTGGCATGCTAGGACTAGACCTGGATGATATAAAGAAAACAAAGCAAATAGAGGAAAAGATAAAGTAATTTAAATGTTCATTTCATAGCTGCATCCAAAAGGGTAGGCCAGTATCCTTAAATACAGTGAAAATGGGCAGCCTTGCCCTAATCATTAGGTTACTCATGGGAGTGAGCACACCCAATGAAATCCTGAAAACTGTAAGGAAAAATAGAAAGGGAATTACACGATTATTTTGTGGCTAACGGTCTGAAAAGGATAGGAATAACCTCTAGCTAGCTTATGGGCCAGACGAGAAGTGGCCCAACACTGAGTAGGTCTAACAAGCGCGCCCCCTTAAAATGAGGCTTATCCTCAGGACTAAAACGTTGGAAAGCAGGCCAAAATGTCGTCAGCTGGTTCCTAGGTAGAATCCTCGGCAGGGAGACCAACCCACTTAATTACCTATTTGGGGATTGGTGCATTCCCCTTCTTGAAAAGGCCCTTGTCAAGAATCCTCTTCAACAAAGATACGTGAAAAACTTGGTGGATCTTGGAGCCACGAGGTAGCTGGAGCTTGTAGGCAATCGAACCCACTCGTGTGAGAATATTGTATGGACTATAAAAATGTGCGCTGAACTTGTGACACACACGATGTTGGGTGGATTGCTGGCAATAGGGTTACA